CTGGAGTCAAGAAGACGTCTCTTCTTGAGTTCAAATCTGTAGAAACTTATTAGCTCTGTGACCCTGGGCAAGTCACTTAACCCTGCCTCTGTTTCCTTATCTGTAAAATAAGCTGGAAAAGAAAATGGCAAACCACTCCAATATCTTTGCCAAGAAAACCCCAAATGGGGTCATGAAGAGTCAAATATGACTGAACAAACCAAACTCAAGCCAACCAATTAAAACACGTTGGCCTTGTTGTGTGAACATTAAAGATACTATTCTTCTCCTTCTCTTGGACTCTTCACAACCCTCAAAAATACTCATCTCTCTATGCTAGAAAGCTTCAGCCATGAGCCTTTGTCCTTTGGCAGTATTGTTCATCTAGTAGCTATGAGACACAAAAGCCCTGAGATGCCACCCATCCATGAATGACTGGGTTATCTTCCCACTCCTTCTGCAATGGAAAACAAGTCTACCGAAGGCAACAAGCCTTCTGATTTCCTCTCTACCAGCTCAGGATTGGGAATCCAATGAGCAAGGAGACTGGACCCCACCCTAAGGGGAAAGCGAGAAGAACTTTGACCTGGTGGGGTGATGGCACCTGATGCAATTTTTAAGGATCTGTGTGATATATATTTTTGCTACCAACGTCTGATATTTGAAATTACGATGTTTTCATAAACAAATTAAGCTTGCATTATAATATTAAATTAAATCAAATGATTTATTAAAGCTGGATCTAAAAGGAAAAAGTTCACAGGTCACTGGAAACAAAGGAGAATATCTTGAATCGGGGCTCGGAGCAGTCGGGGTCACTACCTTGACGCATCCCTTGTTAGATAGGAGCACAGATCTAGAGCTGAAAGGGGCCTCAAATGCTATTAGTCCAACCCCCTCACCTTACAGGTGAGTTAAGTCCCACAAACCATTAAGTGATTTACACAAGGTCTCACAAATAGTGAGGAAAGTCAAGTCAGCAAGCATTTATTAAGCACATACTATGAGCTAGGCACTGAGGTAAGCAACTGAGATATGAAATAAGGCAAGACAGTCCCTGCCCTCAACGACTTCATAAATGATGGAGAAAACATGCAAGCAGCTATGTACAAACTATATATACATACATATATATATATATATGTATGTATATATATAGGATAAATTGGAGATAATCTCAAAGGGAAGGCATTAAAGTTAAGGAGGACTGGGATATACTTCTTGCTGAAAGTGAGATTTTACCTGAGACTTGGAAGAAGCCAGGGAAGCCAGGAGGTGGAAATTCAATTCCATTCAATAAACATTTATTAAGTACCTTCTATGTGCCAGGCAACTAGTGTCACAGCGGATAGAGTCCCAGGCCTGGGTTCAGGAAAACTTACCTTCTCAAGTTCAGATCTGGCCTCATACACTTACTAACTGTGTGACCCTGGGCAAGTCACTTAACACCATTTGCTTCACTCTATTATCTCCGCCAAGAAAACCTCAAACGGAGTCACAAAGAATCTGACACAACTGAAAATTATTTAACAACAACAAATGTGCCGGACACTGTGTTAAGTACCAGGGATACAAAAACAAAAACAGTCCCTGCCAGCAAGGAGTTTACAATCTAAAGAGGGAAGGAGGGAGAGCATTGTTGATATGGGAGACAGCCAGTGAAAATTCCCAGTCAAGAAACAGGGTGTCTTGTTCAAGAAACAGCAAGAAGGCCAGTGTCAGTCACTAGGTGGTAGAGTACATAGAGGTGATAAAGTATAAGGAGCCTGGAAAGGTGAGGGCTATCATGAAAGTTTTTAAAAGCCAAACAGAGGATTTTACATGTGATCTTGGAAGTCATAGGAAGGTGGCATGGGCAGACTTCCGCTTTATGAAGATCAATTTGACAGCTGAATGGAGTGAGGAGAGGCCCGAGGCAAGGAGACCAACCAGATAGATATTTTGATAGTCCAGGAATGAGGTGATGAAGGCCTACACCAAAGTGATGGCCATGTTAAAAGGATGGCCATTTGGCAGTCTCTTGTAAACCAAAGAGGGATCATGGCAGCCTACTGATGCTTATATGTCTTGGTAGAATGGGTGTTCCTGACAGAGGGCAATTAACTCTAAATGGTTAACAATTAATGAGAAAAATGAATATTATAATAAGAGATGGACCTATTTTAATAAGGGGCTGAGGGGGGGAGGGAGACATGACTTTGATTGTGTCACTCATACTCTCAGACCACCCCTAGCCCCAGGCAATCTAGACAAAGGATCTATTCTGCCACTCAGGCCTGAGTAAAACACCACTAGCTTCTCCAGTTAGGTGGGGTCTGAACAAGATGGAGGAGAATATTAAATCCAGTCTTATTATCAGCCCTATTCTTCAGGGATTGATTTAACCTAGAAGAGAATGAGGAAATAGGAAGGGAAAAAATCCTGGATCTCTCCCATAGTAATTGGTTATTAATATAAGAAAAACAATCATTTCTCTCAATCAATTGAAAAAAAAAATCTGACATTATATGCAATGTTCCCAACTTGTGGACCTTTCCCAAACCCATCCCACACTAATCTCTGCAAAGGTCTTGTGTTAAGTGTCTTCTCAAGTATCTCTTTGGAGTCAAACTAGTTCTCTATAATGATGTAATATTTATTTTCTATTAGTTATCCTTTAAAATCTGTAACACTATATATTTTGATCAATATTTCCCTTATTTCAACCCTCTAATCTAGAAAACATGCTTAAACCTTGCTCTTTGGTAACCATGCTTTTGAACTAAAAGACTGACAAAAGATTAGTACAGATTCAAATTTGTATAGTACTGGTAGTGGCAGAATTTCAAAGGTATTCATTGGTATGATCTCATGACTTAAAATTCTAAAGGAAAAGTTCATGAAATTTGTGAAGACATAAAAAGGATCCATTCAATGAAGAAGAAAATGGGAGCAACTAAAGATAAATGTGATTTATCATTGTTAGGCATAGCTATCATTAGCATTTCAAAAAAAGTATCCAAGTAGCCATAAAGGTACTTTAAACTGTCAGAGGAGAGACTTGAGCAAAGTGCTCTAAAACTTTGAGGAAGCAGTTTACATTTTCAGCCCTGAGTGTGGCTCAAGGACTAAAGAAATGAGTATTACAATCCTATTACAAGGCAGCTTAGGTGATATAGTGGTGGACCTTATGCAGATCACAGTTGTGTCCCCGGGGCAAGTGACTTAACCTGCCTATGTCCCAATTTTCTTAGGTTAAGAATTATATACATGCTAGCTATTATTATTAGTTCTAGATCAGCCAGTAACATTGTGATTTATAAACAAGTAGTTGAACCTCCCTCAACCTCAGTTTCCTCATCTGAATAACATCATGCCTATCAGGTTCTCTGAATATTATGGTAAGCTATAGAAAGTATTATACATACAGAAAAATGTATATAGATAATATTGATGCCAGGTCATGATCACCAGACACTTCACGGAAACAAAACAAAATAGGAAAGAGAATGAATAGATGGAAGGAAGGAGACATTGAGAAAAAAATAGGGAAAGAAAAGTAGGACAGGATTTAGAGCTGAAAAAAACCTTAGAGATCTTCTACTAGAGCTGGGGAGCCTTCGGCTTTTATTAACAGGATTAAATCCTGTTAATAAAAGGATTATTTTGTGTTAATCTGTGAAATTTGGATTCAGTAAAAGGGCTGAACTTGAGGACCTAGAGGGCTATAGGTGGCCTCCTGGCCGAAGGCTCCCTACCCGATTCTAGCCCTAATCCTTAATTTAATTTTTTTATTAACAAAAATCTATTTTCTCTCCTCTCCATTAAAAAAGAAAAAGAAAAACGAAACCCTTGTAAGAAAGAAGTACAATCAAGCAAGACAACTTTCGCTATCAGTCACTTCAAAGGGTGCTAACCTCTCTATTTTATAGAGAAAAAACTGAGGCCCAGAGAGGTTGTGACTGCCCCAAGGTCACCCAAAAAGTCATTAGAAAAGCTCAAGACCCAAGCGCTCGGATTCCAAACCCACTCCCCTTTCCACTATTCCTGATGGGTGAGAGAGGGTGAAGGTCTGAGCTGGGTCTGCAGCCAAGGAGCACGGGCTGTTCGTCAGCATCACACTTGTCTCCCGTGCTAATTTGCTCGTCTCCACCACCCGCCCTTCCCGTTGGTGCGGGCATCTCCCAGGCACCGATTTCATTGGCTCCCACGCCGCTCCCCAGCCAGTGACTGAGGATGTATGTTGCTGGGGACAGAGAGGCGGGGGGAGGGGAGGAAGCCAAACTCGCTGGAAGGAAGCCTTTAATAAGCACTTTTGATGGCGGTGATGACGAAGGCGAAGATGATGCTCGAGAGTGCCCGAGGGAGCTTGGCCGGGAGGGGGGGATTGAGAAAGGAGAGGAGGCGTTACCAGGAGCTGAACCAACAACCTCTGGAGCAGGCGGGCACGCAGGGGGCGGAGCGAAGATGGGGGAACCGTAAGGAGACTTTATAGGAGCCAGTCACTCGACTTCTCCGTGCCTCAGTTTCCTAAAGTGTTAAAGAAGATTAACAACCTCGGAATGTCAGATCGACCAAAGCTGCCTGACTCACAGGGCTGTTGTCAGGGTCAAATGAGCGCAAAGCGCTTTGGAAATATTAAAGCGCTATATTTGCTATTCTCATTGATGATGCTGATGCTGATGGAAATGCTGCTGCTGAAGACAGAAATAAGGAAAAGGATTGGAGGAGGGAGAGGGAGAGTGCAATTGCGGTCCAGAAAAGGGCCACTACTTCGACTCTTCACAAAGGGCCGTGGAAACAGCCCCCAGCCCTGGCGTAACCCCAACCTAGGCTGTCCAGCCCAAGCTTTGGAGATCGGGGAGCTCAGACGATCGTCCGGTTTTATCGCGCAGGCGCTGAGTCCAGCCCTCCGAGACCTTCGGGCTTTTTGCCAGCGTCCCTTCTAGCTCGCCAGTTTCGGTCTTCCGCTTTTCCACGCCTCTTCTCCTGCGCATGCGCATGCGCAAGCGAAGTCTGACTTGCTAGCGCCCTCCGAGCCGAACGCGTCGCCCTGGACACTGGTGGGGGGAGACGAGGGAGCCTGATTTCCGGAGGACGTGACGTATAGGGGAGGAAGGCCCGGACCCGTTAAATTGGTTAGTGATTTCTTCTAGTGTTTCGGGGTTAGTGGGGTGCTGCTGAAATCGGGGGTCTCGTGGAGTCGGGGAAGGTTATAAACTGAGGCCCGGCTTCGAGCCCAAGTGTAGAGTCAGGGAGAGAAGCTCCTTTATGTCACACGCCTGAAGGGCGCCCGGATTAAAACCAGAACCGGCTTCGACAAGCCGGCCCGAGGCTGAGAAGGGGCCCACGCACAAGGCCCCGTGTCCGTGGGAAGCAGCATAGGCTAGTGAAAAGTGCGCCGGGGTGGGAGCTGGGTTCTAGTCCCGGGGCCGAGCGCTGGCCAAGAAGCGTTTTGCCTCTGAACCTGTCTCCTTGGATGTAAAATGGTAATAATTGACCCCCACCCTCCCAGGGTTGTTAAGAGCAAAAGGTCTGATGTCTGGCATTAGGATAGCAGTCTAACACCTAGAAAACTCAAAAGCCACGCAGTAAAACGCCTACTACGTGCCAGGTTCGTTGCTGAAGCCCTGGAGATTCAAAGACAAAAACCAAACAGGCCAGGGGCTATACACAGCAATTGAAAATCCCAGGCCTCTGTTCCTGCTTGCTACCGGGTCAGGTTACTTGTTGGCCTGGAGTGTGGAAGACCGAAGTTTAAATCCGATGCATGACTCTGGGCAAGTTACTTAATTTCGTTTGCCTCAGTTTCCTCATCTGTAAAGTGGAGATAATAATAGCACCTATTTCCCATGGTTGTTGTGGAGATCAAATGAGAGTGCCAGGCACTTAGTAAACACTACATAAAAGTTATCGGCTCTTATTGTTGTTAGCACTATATAAACGTTAGCTATTACTGTTGTCATTCCGAACATAATCAGTTGGGTAATGGAAGAGAAACATAATTAGGAAATTAAATCTTAAGAAAGCATATATACATATATATTTATATATATATATATATATATATAAAGGCAAAAGGACTCGACGTGTGTGTGTGTGTGTGTGTGTGTGTGTGTGTGTGTGTGTGTGTGTGTATATTTCCATCTCCCATTGAGGACCTTCTGTGAAATAGGTGGCCATCTTTTCTCCAAACTGTCTTAGAAAGTTGCTTGAACCACTTGCTCAGGGTCACACAAGGAGAAGGTATCAGAGGCCAGAATTGAACCCAGTTTATCCTGACTCTAAGAGTAGCTTTCTATCCATCATACTAAGCTGTCATGTAAAGCAATACAAAATAAAATATAATTCAACACCACAGCTATTTGCTGAGCACCACCTATGTACAAGGCACTGTGTTAGGCTTTGGGGATACAAAGGCAAAAAATATACCAACCCCCATATAATTTACATTCTACTGGTGGGGAGCAGCATGTACACAATTGGTACAATTACAAGTGTGTAATATAAAGTGACTTCAGGAAGGAGAGCATTAATAACTGGGGGAAGGAGAAGGAGGAGAAGGAGATTAGGAAAAGTCTTGGGTAGGAGGGTATAACTAAGTTGTGCTTTGAAAAAAGTTAGAGATTCTGCCAGGTAGAGGGGAGAAGGAGCTGATTACAGACATGAGGAGGCCACTTATGCAAAGTCAGGCTGAACTGACACAGTGTTTGCAGGAGAGTAATGTGAAATGAGTCTAGAAAGGTAGGTGAGAGTCAGATTGTGGAGAGATTTCAATGCCAAGCGAAGGGTTTTGTGTATTATCTAAGAAGTAATAGAAAGCTCTCAAAGATTTCTGATGAAGGACATGCTCAGATCTGTTTTACTGACATCAGTGTGGCAGTTATGTGAAGGACAGATTGTACAGGGAAGAAAATGGAGGCAAGGAGAATAAATTGGGCTATGATTTGGGGTTTGTTTGTACTGCTGCTCCCCAAAAGGGATAATTTGAGAGCAAGTATTTTGGGGGTTGTCTCTATTTCAAAATAAAGAAAAAAAGCATGGAATTGGAACCTCATATATTCACTGTCCTTAGTTTTTCTATTAGTAAAATTGGTTAATCATTATCAGTTATATAAGAAAGAATTCTCTTCAGATTATGTTTCAATGCCGTAGTATAAGTCTTATTTCTGTCACTTGGAGCATGGTTTGTAATTTATATTAATTGCCTTAGTGCAATAGATTCAATATGAAGTAAAGTCAAAGATACTGGACTTTCTTAAGCTTAACAAAAAATAGAATAATAACTTTGTTTTCTTTAGAGAGTATCATCTTCAAATAGTGTTTGTCTTGCTTGATACAGAGACCTAGCACCATGTATTTTTGAATACTTTAAAAATATTTTCTTAACAGTTTTCCATAATCCACTTTTTTGTTCAGTAGTATAAAATAGGAATCTCTTTAATTAGGCATTAATGATCATAATATACTAGATGCAAAGTTTAAACAAAGACAACTGTGTACTTTAGCCAATGAGCCACATTCCCTTGACTCTGCTGCTTTCCCCTCCTTCCCCTTATCTTCAATTCCCTTTTCATTGAATCAGGCCATCGGTGCTAGGTTCTAGAAAGATAGAGACAAAAATGGAATAGCCCCTGCCCTTAAGGAGCTTACTTACATTTGATGGAAGAAACAACATATATACATATAAATAGTTATAAAACATTTGCCACATAAATACAAGGTAATTTGTGGGGGTGGGGATGGAGGGAGAGTCTCTAGTAGCTGGAGGAAATCAAGAAAGGCCCCATGGGGGCAGCTAGGTGGCACCGTTGATAGAGCACCATCCCTAGAGTCAGGAGAACCTGAGTTCAAATCCGGCCTCAGACACATAACACTCACTAGCTCTGTGACTCTGGGCAAGTCACTTAATCCCAATTGCCTCACCAAAAAAAAAAAAAGAAAGAAAGACAAAGAAAGGCCCCATCAAGAGGTAAGTAGGGATTCTAACAGTTGGAGGTGATAGGGGAGTGTATTCCGTGCATGGTGGACGGTCTATGCAAAGGCATAGAGATGAGTGATGGACTCTTATATGTGAAAAATAAGGCTGGTCCCTAGAGGGCAGGAGGAAAAGTAATGAGTAGTAAATCTGGAAAGTGGGTTGGAACCAGATTGTGATGAATTTTAACACCAAACAGGAGTTTACATTTGATACTAGAGGCAGTAGTGAGCCACTGGAGCTTCTTGGGGACAGAAGGGATATTGTCAGACCTGTACCTTTTCCTTCTGACCAGGTTCTGCTCCTGGGAATGATTTTTCCTTTTTTTTTTTTGTTAAAGGAGAGAGAAGAAATCTAGATGACTTTTGTTAGCTTGTTATTGTTTTCTTTTTACATTTCTCTCCAAAGTACTGTTTGCTTTTCATATTGATGAAATTATGCAATGGAAAACAGCTTTCCCATGTCCTTGAAAAGGCCTAAGAGAGATTTTGAAAGCTTTTGAAAGGTGATAGGTTAATGCCCTAAAGGACTAATATGCATGAAAGGTATAAGTTTTTAAATTCAGCATTCTATGTTCTTGGGTAAGTCTTCAGTGGAGACATTTCTGGCAGCCTTTTACTGAAAAACTGTCACTTGTCAGGTCACTGACAGGACTACCTTTCATTTCTTTCTATCTTATAAGTAATTCTTTTTTTACTCTTGAGAGACTCAGCCTTGAAAAAGACCTATAATTTTTCATTATCTCTGTTGTTAACCTTATATTTCTGATATTAACTTTTGCAATACAAATATTTTCTTTGGGGAAAAAAACTTACAGTTTCATCATAGTGAGTTCTGTCTCAGATATTTACCATGTTCCTAAGGTAGCATGCAAATAACTTTGTTGCCTTTTGGCCTAGAATCAGTGGGCCGCCTTCCCGTCAAATTCCTACTTTATTCCAGCTGCCTAGTCTCTCACTAGGCTATCAACTCTGTCATTTTAATTCTGCTTTATACATCTCTCTCATCCATCATACCTTTCTCCCCATGCACAGTTATCACCCAATTTCATGCTCACATCTACTCTTACCTGGACCATAATGATAGCTTCCTGCCTTCTTCTCTTTCCCCTTTGATCTATTCTCTACCCAGCTAAATATTCTTTCACAATTCCATCTTTAACCATGTTACCCCACTACTCAAAAGCCTTTTGTGGATCCTTCTCTCCCATAGAACAAAATACAAATTCTTTAACCTAAGGCCTTCCATAGGCCAGTTGGCACTTCTGTTTCCAGTCTTATTTCACATTACTCCCTAAGATACACTCTATGTTCCAACCAAATGAGACCACTAGTGCTCCTTGAAAACAAATTCCATGTCTTACCTTTGGCCCCATATGCGTGTCATGTACTCTATTGTAGACAAGGATATTGGTAAAACTCAGAGTTAATCCCTCTCATTCACACGCACACATACCCCCAACACATACTCCCACAACACCAGTTGGAACACCACTCCAACTATTAGAATCACCCTCACCTAGGGCAGTTTGGGTTAACTTTGCTTTCAGGTAGATTGACCTAGAACACAGGGTGTTTAGGCAAGAAGACTATAAAGTGATTTTTAGGACTTTAGTGAGGAGCCCCTGAGACCCCAGGGATCCTGCCCGCCCTGCTATTACCTTCCTGGAATGCATTTACCTGAAGGTATTTGAATATATTTTTATTAAATAGCTTGCTTGAACACTTGGGCTTTGAGTGATCCTTTGCAGGAGGCCCAACCTTTTCATCTTCTACTTTAAGAATCCTTATCTTCCTTTAGGGTTTAGTTCACCTATCACCTCCACCTTAGCTCTCTATATGGTGCTCCTCCCCTCCCTCTTCAGATTCCCTTTATAAGGTATAACGTACCCATCCTGTATATATGAGGTTATATATCTAAGGTAAAAGATACAATAGAGGTCATTCAGTCTAACTCCCTCATTTTATGGATGTGGAAACTTAAGGCCCATATTCCACTCCCGCAGTATCACATAAGCCCCTTATATGTATAATATTTGCTCTTTTCACTTAGCAACCATTAAATAGTTATGGAATTAAACCCTCTCAAATACTTTTTTATTCTTCTCTGGCTATATAATGTTAATATCTATATACTTATTTTGGATATGACAAGTAGTATCTTAGGGAGGAGGAGAATGGTGACTTACAGGTATGTAAAAAAGAAAAGAAGAAAAGAAAAAAAAGATTGATTCACAAGGTTTTTATTATGTTCCAGGCACTGTACCTGGTAGGGAAGAAGGTATATATCTTTGGGGCATATGTATCTATGCAAATAGATGACTGGATATCTACCACGGGGGAGGAAAGGGAACAAAAAACTGTTCTCCCAGCTTGTGATAGAGTCTTAAATTTTATTCAGGTCAGTAGTTTCTAACTCAAATGCATATTTTTATGGAAGGTTTGTTAGAAACATTGACTAGCCCATTTAAACACATAATATACTAAAATACTGTACATTCCGAAAGAAAAAATTAGAAAACTATTGCATTATTGTAAAGGCATTACACAAAACACTAACAATAAATTGAGCAACATATTGGATTTAGGGGGAGTGTAATTTATCTTTAATGCTAGTGCTTGCAGAAAAAACAGTTTTAATTGGTACAGTGGAAATAATGCTGGATTTGGAGGCAGATAACTTGCTTTTGAGTTCTGACTGCCATTTAATAATATCTGTGTGTACTTGGACAAATCACCTAACATTCCTGAGTCTCAGCTTTATCATCTGTAAAGAATGAGGAGATTGGACCATGTCGCTTCTGTTGTCCTTTCTGCCCCTAAATCTATGATTTTATGCAGTAGAGGAGACAATTGCAAAGGTAGAAGGAAATGTGGGGAGATTCTGTAGGACATTTCTAGGCACTTTTTTTTCCTTTTTTTTTCTTTTTTGTTTTTGCTAGGCAGTGGGGTTAAGTGACTTGCCCAGGGTCACACAGCTAGTAAGTGTTATTTGTCTGAGGCCGGGTTTGAACTCAGGTCCTTCTGACTCCAGGGCTGCCACTCTATACACTGCGCCACCTAGCTGCCCCTCTAGGCACTTTCAAGAGCTTTAAAGGTTGATGACATTGGCTTCTTATGGTCATTAAAATTATGACTTTTTTGACACTTATTAGCTGTGTGACCCTGAACAAGACACAACCCCAACTGACTCACCAGAAAAAAAAAAGTTATGACTTTTCTTTGCTAAAGGCAGTCACAAGCATTGCTTTTATACTTAATTGGTTGCTTTTTGTCTCATAAATGGAACAGATTTCCCTTTGGAGGGACCAGAGTTGTAAGAGCAGAGAATGGAAAAAATGGAGTAGGTTGTGTGTACATATAAGAAAGATTATGTAAGATACAATTAAATTAGCTGTGACTGATGCAAAAGGAAAATAGAGAAATAACTATATATGATCCCTCTGAACTAGGAAGAAAAGAGATAAGATTTAATGGGAGACAGATTTCCCATGCTGACCATGAGATGGCTCTGTTAAATCAGGATAGTTTCAGAGAAGCCTGAAATCTGAAGTGTAGGGGATAAGGAGGAATCAAAGGCAGTGAGTTTAATCAACTTTGAGATATGTACAGAACTTTCTAAAGTCTGATATTTGATTCAGAGAGTGCTTATACTATTAGTGAACCTCAGATGGGGTTGTAGAAGATTCCCCTAATTTAAATCCTGCTTTCTGTCGTTCTGAAATGATTTTGAAGTTTTCTGGCACTTAATGTACAGGTAATAGCCTGGGGAGATTTTTTTGTTGTTGTTGTAGTAATTTTTTTTGTTTCTTCTTTGGTTTTCAGGGGTCAGCTGTTTTTTTTTCTTTTTGATTTTGGGTTGGTTTTGTTGTTGTTCTTTTGTTTTTCCTGTTTTGAGGACAGTCCATCCCTAGTTGGGCAAAGGACCATCTCCAAGCCAGTGGAGTAAAACAGTGGCTTAAAGTATTCCAGATTATCAACACTGTGGCAGGCGAATTAACATATTGCAGATATTTTTCAGTTTCCTACTAAAATTTCACATCATCTAGCTATACTTACACCAAGAAAATCTGACTCCTTTTGCCAATTTTTGATCTGGTATGAAATGTCAGTTCTAGTGGCAGGTAACTTGGATCTGATGTCTACCCTGCTGTATGCCATAATGTAATTTAGTATTTGGGTTTTTTATCTACTTCATCAAAATGTTATAAGAATTATTTTCTTTCTGAAATACTGAGGTCTTTGGAGATGTTAACACGTGAAGTGTTACCGTTTTAGAATTGTGCTTATTCGGTCGTTTGCAGCTCTTCATGACTCCATTTGGGGACTGGTTTGCCATTTCCTTCTCCAGCTCATTTTATAGATGAGGAACTGAGAAAAACAGGGTCAGACAGCTAGTAAGTGTCTGAGGACAGATTTGAACTCAGGTCTTCCTGACTCCAGGCCCAGTACTCTATTTAATGTACCACCTAGTTGCCCTGTTTTAGAATAGTGAAGGTTATTACAGGACAAAAGCAAATATAGAGTGGAAATGAATCAAATCAGAATTCAGAGAATGAATAGTCACCATTTAGGAAATAAAAATCTTGTATTTGAGGAGGTTTTTTTTATGATTCTTTTAGAGCAAGTTGACTGAAAAACTATAGGACCACTACCACACTAACTCATCTAGCAACCCCTTCCTCAGATTAATTTCATCCCCAAATGACTCAGGCAGTCTTGTAACCTAGAGGCTAAATGACCTCATAATTCATTAGCACTTTTCAGAGCCTTTTGTAATCCTCTGGGAAGAACAGTGTTCAAAGGACAGATAATAAAGACTATAGTATAATTATTTTTCTGTAAAGATTGAACCTTTAGATGTCAGTCAGCATATTTATTTTGCAGATTGCTTACGTTGGTGTTTTCTGAAGATACATTAGTGTTAATTGTGACCCTGGTAATCTGTTTCCCCATTATCCTTACCAAGCAAGCTTACTTTAAAAAAAAAAAAAAAGATAATTTGAATGTACTGAATGCTTATTTAAAGCACAACCTAGTTAATTGTGCCCCCCCCCAAAAAAAAGTATAGCAAGGCAGTAACAGATAACATTTTAATTATATCAGCCCCATATACAGAAAACATAAACCATAAATACAAAGTATTGTGCAAAGGAATCAGTTCTATTGGATCACAAATGTTTCTCAATTCCTAGCACAATAAAATCTCTGCCAATTTGCATGATTCATCATGACTCACCTTTCTTTTCCTAAATGTTTATTGGACAGTCCTAGAATATTTCATACTAACACATTTATCATTCTTTTCCGTTTGTGTAGGAACTGTCTTTATTGGCGCTCTCTCTCTCTCTCAAGATGTCATCCCTTTCAGAATATGCCATGCGAATGGCTCGCCTGAGTGCTCGAATATTTGGAGAAGTGGCCAGCCCCACCGATTCCAAGTCCATGAAAGTAGTGAAGTTGTTTAGTGAACAGCCTTTGGCTAAAAGGAAGGAGACTTATGACTGGTATCCCCCTCACAACACCTATTTTGCTCTCATGAGGAAACTCCGTTTCTTTGGGCTTTACAGGTAATGAAGAAACAGAAACTAGAGATGGTGAGAGAATTTCTGATAGATGAGAATATATGCAAGATGCCTAAAAATCTTTCTATCCTTTAGGGCACCTATCTTTGTGTTTACATACTTTTAAAGATAAAATTGAAAGAAAGTGAAAGACTTCTTCAAAATAATGTATATCTTGCAAACTTTGAAAATCAAACCAGTTTTGTGTGTGTGTCTTGCCCCAATCTCTAATCTGCCTATTAGGTGTGGGAACCTCTGTCATTCTTATAGTAGTGCTTTCCCTGGCACTATAATTTCTACTCCCCCTGTTTAGATAGTTTAATTATCTTTGTACCATTTTTGATGAATTATTTTGTTCTAATTAAGCTGAAGGCTGCCTTTAAGGGTTATGTTTACATTTAAATTTAACGGAATCTTATACCTGTTTGTTCATTGGAGAGAGAAAGATAACCTATTGGAAAAGGAAAATGGGACTCAGGCAAGAGGAAAGGTAGGATCAGATATCTTTAATTTTAGAGCTCTTATGTTAGCATTTTTTAATTTGACATGTCATTGAGATAGAAAAACAATATGCTATTTTTGCTAATGCATTAGAATTAATAAGAGAATATATATGCCACTCAGGATAGCTAGACACTAACATATTAGTACAAAATAACTTTGTTCCCTCATGCAGTATTATACGTTATAGTCATATCTATTATTTTCATGTTGTTTTTCCACAAAATATTTTTAACCTGAGACAAACCACTTATTAGACTTTGGGTATGTCTCTCTTTGTTGACAGTTGGTTTTTGCCCAGTGACTACAAACTTATTTTAATCATAGTTTTAACAAAATTAAAAGGCAAATCTGTTGAAAAAACAATATAAATGAAAAATCACATAAATTTTTTGATTATCTGTGCCACTATGTCACACCGTTACCTTGGATAACTTAGATTTTTTTATACTTGTCTACTGGGACATGAAAAATGTGTTTAAAATCTAGCAACTATACAGAGAAGCTAAATCATTCTCTTATATTTAATTTTAAATTACGATGTAATCTCATGCAAGTTGTAAAAAATAAGTGAACCCAGTTATTTAGGATATTGACAAACCAAAGTCAATGAGAGTTAAGGAAGAAGCTGTAAGGTTTTTTTCAGTAGATAAACCTGATTTTTAAATATGCAGAGCCAATAATCCGTTTTAACCCATATGAATGCTAGAGGGTGTTTTTGTTATAGCCTTCAGAGTAAAAATTAAAATGAGTGCCTTTAGATCAAGATTGGAGGTGGATACCTACACCATAAGAAAGTAGATGAGGTAGAGAGAAACAACAATATTCAATTATTCCACCTCAGCAGGCAGCTTGTTTTGAGAGCTGCTACCTAGGAAACGGGAAAGGAAGTAACCTTCTCTCTAGCATACTCTTGTAAGAATACTGAAGTGGGCTGCAGAAAAATGTTGTGAAACAATTTTTTTTCAGGTCTACGATAGGATGAAATGCTGAAGATTTTTGCAACTTAACTTGCTTAGAGGTTAAACTCTTATCTTCATCATGATAGCCTAACAGAGCACTCTTCTAGACAGAAGGATTCTAATTTATATTTCATGGTTTTAGTATGTGCCTTTGCCTTTCTTGTTGTGTTGACACAAATATTAGTTACTAATAATATTTTAATTTTAAAACTCTCAATGAAGTTAAATGTCAGGAAATCTTAGAAGTATATAGTGAATGACATAATAATTTACCGATGCAGAATACAACAGAAAAGGAGGAAGTGAGGGGGGGAAAGGTTTCAGAGTAGCCAGGATAGATGAATATATCATAAAGTCCATATGTTAAAATGCATGTACTTCATAAGAAAACTCCTTAAACCTTTGCCTACATCTGTGGACTTTTATTTTACATACAGTCCTTAAAAATATGGTTATCTTATTTCTAAGCTCACAACAGATTAGAATCAGCAAATTAGAAGGGAGGAGAGGAGCTGCTGTAGTTAAACATATTAACAAGAGTGAAATCCAACTACTAGGAGCCTGATAGCAAGAAGAGAAACAGAAAAACTATAAAAAGTAGGCAATTCTAAAAATACAGTCTGGGACCTTTTAGTAGGGGGGAATTGGGCCTTATTCACAGCATCACTGTATAATAGTATGTTATAATAATTTATGTTCATAATGTGACTGTCATTAAGAAAGGGTTAAATTATGTTTGGTATCCTCTGCTTTATAAGTTAGGAAAGCATATAATAAGATTTTAAGATTTTTGGTTAAAATAAACAAGTTTTGAGGCTGGGGTTTTTTGTTTGTTAGGATTAAATATGAATACTATTCCTAGGAAGTATAATAAATATAGATTAGTATCATTTGCAAAAGAGTTTTAGTTCTGCTCTAAAACATATCCTAACAACTAACAAACATTTCTTGGACCCTTGGTTTTGTTTTTTTTTTTTTAGTTAAAATACAGGCAGCCCTTCACTTCACACATACTCAATTAGCAAGTGATCTACACTGACAAACAAGCCTTGGAACCTCATATCCTTGGCACTAGAGTTCCTTCCTACCACTGACACCCTTTCCTGCCCATGTCCTCCTTTGTAGCCTGGAACTCTTGTGGTTTAGAACTCTTACATTAACTTTTTTTTTAAAATTTGACATGTCATTAAAATACAAAAACAATATACTCTTTCGCCTGAGCCATTTCCTGATGGTTCCCTCCACCACAGTTGCTGTGGTAGCTATGGGAGCCCCTGTTTTCTTGCTGTTTAATTTTCCTTTCTGTGCTGCAACAGAAAATTCCCAGCTTTAGAGAGCCTCTAGATTCTGCCTTCATTTCCTTAATTGACTTTTGACCTTATACAGGATTTCAGGGGTCATGGGGGATTTGCTGTCCAGAGCTACTATTATGGACCTCAGGTATATCATTAGTAAAATAGACTCATAAACTAGCCTCAGAGCTTAGCTACAGTTTACATCATTGTTTCTATGGGAACAGGTACTCTGAATTTCAAACAACCCACTTACAAATGAACTTTTAAAATGTAACCTATTCATAAGTTGGGGACTGCTATGTGTTTTCCATAAACCTAGTTGGGCCTGTTCCCTTGAAAAAGTCAAATATTGATAACCATAATGATCATCACATTTATACGTCACTTTAAGGTTTGCAAATCATATTACATGTGTTCACTTTCTTGAAACCTACACGAATCACCAAAGAGAACATTACTTTTTGAATGTGCTTCACCATTTTCAGTTACAGTTAGCTGATTAGTCATTCTCTTTTTCTCGACTCAGAGATGAACATCAAGATTTTAAGGAAGAGCAAAGGCGACTCAAGAAGCTTCGTGGAAAAGGCAAACCAAAGAAAGGAGAAGGGAAAAGATCAGCTGCAAAGAAATAGCGTTGGACCAGTCTTTGGACCAATCAGTGACTCAGATGAGAAAGAAGTAGACATGTTTATTATTTTTACACTCTCAATAGTAATACGGCTTCCCTAAATTGATAGTTATTAGCCCAAGAATCATCCCTCTTACCTCATCACTCATCATGCTGAATTAGGATTGGATTCTTGAGTATATTTTTGTCCTTAAATGTTATTTTGGCCTTGATAATTATGTGACTATGTCATCTATTGTCTTCTCAAAGAAATTATTAATATTTAAGTATTTACTAATTTTCTAGCAAAAAAAAAATCCTCACTAAATTGGCATTATGTGATTACTTCTTTCACCAAACTGACCATTAATTCTGTGCATCCATATTTTTTTCCTTCCCTGCACACTCTTTTTACTTTGCCAGACTTACTCCACCTAACTGCCCATTCATTCACCCACTTTCTTTACTCTCCTTTGAACCATACTGCCTTTAACCTGTCTGTCTACAAGCTCTTTTGAGTTATCTGGCAAGATATTTGTGTGTCTGTGGGGAGGAAGGGAGGGAGGACTTAATAAGCATCTGTTGGGAGATTGGTGCTGTTTTTATCCTCATTTTAAAGTTGAGAAAACTGAAGCAAACAGTTTAAATGACTTGTCCAAGGTCAAACAGCAAGGAAGTACCTATGGCTGGATTTGAATCCAGGTCTTCCTGACTCCAAGCCCACAGTTTTATCTACTTCACCACCTAGCTGCCTTAAAAGACATAACTGGGGAAATGAATGAGTATGCATGGTGAGAATTATATTTACTGAAGTGGTGGTATGTATACATACATATCTATATATATGTACATATATACACATACAAAGAGAAAGAGAGTTGGGTGACTATTAAGAGTATAATATTTTGCCAATGGGTCCTAAATTAAATTGGAAGAGTTATTCTAACCTTGCTTCTCTCCTAGAACTGCTGAAGTACTCTGATACAGTTTTCATATAACATTGGTCCTGGGATATTTCTGTTTTTTTCTAACACACATACATCTTTACTTTTGTTTTGATGGGGAGAGTGAGGAAGAAAATGAATTTGTACACAGTTGCTGCAGTTTCCCAAGCTAGCATTCATTTAAATCAACATTCTAGAAAGTGGCAATAGGATTTTTGAGACAGAGGAATCCTTAAAAAATCTCCTACTCTAGCCCCTTCCTTTTACATATGAGGAAACTGAGGTCCTGAAAGATTTTTATCCAATATCATTCAGCTAGTTAGTAGCAGAATAAGAAGTTAAATCCAGGTTTCTTGACTTCTAGTCCTATGTATTGTCCTCTGTAGTATGCTGGTAGTAATTAGGAATAACTCTAAATCCACTATTGACTTTAAGCTCATTCCTGGGTTCAGTGGGAATCCTGTTTGTCGTATTGAAACAAACCTTTTAGAGAAACATTATATAGATGTTATCACTGAGATCCAAATTGTAGAACATGTGAAGAAAGACAGCTTCCTTGAAGGGTGATTGTTTATTTTGGGAATATCCTCTCCCAATAGCACAAGGTTTTATATCCTAATGTAATTTTGAGTCAAATATCTTTTTTTAAATGTGGTAGAAGACACAGGTCCATAATTTGAACATATAAAGGTCCTAGGCAGTAAGAAGGTATGGTCTAATTAACTTAGGGTTGTGTCTAAAATGTAACTGATCCCAGTGATTTAAAGGTAACAAGGAGATTAAGCTGGGAGATAGTCCTTCAGCCTGGTCCAAGTTGAAGTAAAAAGGTACTGTTGAATATTGTGCTCTCTAGTAAGAAAGAAGTGAACAGCATGAAGAAAGCAGCAAATTAGGAAGAGGAGAAAAAAGTATACAATTTCAAAACAGCATTTTGAAAATGACAAGCTACAGGGGTGGCTAGATGGCGCAGTGGATAGAGCACTGGCCCTGGAGTCAGGAGGACCTGAGTTCAAATATGACCTTAGACATTTGACCCTTACTAGCTATGTGACTCTGGGCAAGTCACTTAACCCCATTGCCTAGCAAAATACCAAAAAAAAAAAAAAACTACAAAGATTCAAAATTAGAGAAGATTGGCTTGCTCAGACAAGAGGCCAAAAAGGGAATCATTGTGTAGGGCAGCTAATAGCGAGCCATAGAAGAGACTGAATTTTTTTTTAAACCCTGAATGGCCAGCAAGTAATCATAGCAGTAGCAGGTTTGCTTTGAAAGGGAAGCGGTAGCTACAACAATGGAGGCCTGTGCTGTGGAAGGATTAATTTAGTATTTAAAACTGTTATTTGCTGAGCATCTGAACATGAAAGATTGATAGTAAATGTTTCCTTAGCAGGGAAGAAGTATGCCCTAAGGCCATTGTGTAAGAAGAAATCCACAGTAGTCACAGTACAATTTATAGAAATAAGATTCACTAAGAGAGGAGACGTGAGAGAGTAAATACTGGATCCACTCTTGGTCTCATGGTTCCAACTGTAGACATCAGTTGTTAAGAGGATCTTAGAGGGGCAGCTCGGTGACGCAGTGGATAGAGTGCCGGCCCTGAAGTCAGGAGGACCTGAGTTCAAATCCGGCCTCAGACCAAACACTTGACACTTACTAGCTGTGTGACCCTGGGCAAGTCACTTAACCCCAATTGCCTTAAAAAAAAAAAAAAACAGAGGATCTTAGGCACCTAATCCAACTCTTGGCATATCACATGTCAGAAATATAGACTATACTGTTGACAACCCAGGGCCATAACTACCTTGGGAAATTTGAGGATATTGTTCCGTTTTCCAATTCCTGATTCTCGGCTGGAAAACACCTGTGCCGATGACTTGTTTTTAGGTCTCCCTTAGTACAGAATTCCTGAACAGAGGGCTCTGGTGCACGACCCATCAGTAATTCAGTTCAGCAAGCCTTCACCTACTGTGTGCTAGGTGGTAAAATGAAAAAACAACCCCTGCTTCTGAGGAAGCTACATTCTCCTGGGGGATACAACAGTAAACACGTAAGATAATTTGAGGAAGAAGAAAGCACCGACTAGAGAGCCCTGGAAAGACATCCCTAGGAAGTAGCCCCAGCATTGAACCTTGATCCAAACAAGAGGAATGAGTCTCAAGAGGGAGTCTATTTTTAAGTCCACAGGCATTTATTAAGCACTCAGTATGTGTCTGATAATGGAATAAACACAGTTTGAGATACCAGTGAGACATGCATGAGAAGAACAGTTAGGCATATAGATCTGAAGCTCAAGAGAGAGGTCAGAGAAAGAGTTGTAAATCTGGGAATCATGCACATAAGTAATCATTGAAGTTGTGGAAGCAGATGAAGTCAGCAAGGAACATAACAAAAAGAAAAAGCTTAGCAAAGCTTAGCTTTCCAACACCTAGTACAATGCCTGGCACATAGTAGGGACTGACAGAAGGCCAAGGATAGATCTTTAGTTAATGCTCGCATTAAGGGATTTTTCTCTGAAAGTTCTTAAGGATGAGCAATTTATCTTTGCATTAGCACTTCATATACTTCCACATAACATTTGAACATATAAGTCTTTGTAATTATTTGTGTGGTTTAAAAATAGATTTGTATCGAATGATGCCGGATCATATTAGCTTCACAGAAAAAGCCCCGTCTTAGTCACTGGTACCTCTGAGAACTTAATTTGCATTTGTTTGTCTGTGTCTTCCCTTATTCACTATTACCTTTCATTGTCCCTTAACCATTGACTTTCGGTTACATTTAGGTAAACATTGCTTTTTTTTTATTTTTTTAATCTTCAAGGGGGAACAGCCCAAATAACACATTTCAGTACTCTGGCTTCATATGAAATTCTATTTGCTTTTGAAAAAATTGAAATCACATCTCAGCATCTATTGGAGCACATTCTGAAAAAAAAATAGCGATTATTTCTTGACTCGCCTTAATGATAATTTTGTGTTTTAAAAAGTAAAAGAAGCAGCAAGGTTAATTCTATCCTAGATCTAATTCTCACCAACAAGTGAGAATTGGTTTGTTGGGGTGGAAGCCCCTTTGGAAGAAAATTATATTCTTTAGGATTTGTGATGGAGAAGAGGAAGACAGTAATAGTCCATTGTAAACTATAGATTTTGGAAGAGTTGATTTAGAAGGGTTCAGAGGAAGGCAATGTAGAAATCCATTGATAGAAATTCTATGAGGTAAGTAAGACTGGAGGAATAGTTGGGAAGCTCTCAAGAATGAGGTCCTGAAGATGCAAGAAAAAAATTCTAATGAAGAGGGAAAGGGGAACTGTTAGAAATGAGAGGGGACACTCAGGAAACTCACCAACCAGCTTCAATTTTCAAAATATGTGCAGATGATGGAAGCAAGGAAAACACATGGAGTTTCAGAGTGAGAAGGCACCTCGCTTGCTTATTACAACCCACACTTTAAAAATTCCCCAAACAATTGGTACTGTTGGTACCCCTACCCCGCTTCCAGCTGTTTTGGGGAATCTGACCAGTAATTCTTACCAGAGCTGGGAGACCTTTAAGCCAACTAAATTACATTTATAGACTGCTGTAGTGAAAGCTCAAGATACTTGTGCTTTCTACCAGTGTTTCAACATGTTCCCTCTATCTGGTTGGGTTGGTTTGTTAGGGGGAAAGAAATCCCACTAATCTCAGTGCATTCTAATGTTATGCTTTTTAACTTCCCTGGACTTAAGCCAGTGACCTTGGAATCTTATAGCAAATAGGCTACCAATGTGGCTAATTCTCTTCAGTTTATTCCTCCCTAATCATTACATGTCTTCATGATAGCAGGAAGATTAATCAGCCTTCTACTTAGTCCACATGAGCCAGCCTCTCCTATCTGGATGGAAGCATTCGTATAGCTTCTAGAAGCCTAAAGAGGAAGAAGTAAATTTTTTTTTTTAAATTCTGATATACCTACTTGGAGAATATTGTTTTGGCTTTGTAGCACAGGAGGGCTGCAGAGCAAGGGAAGAAAAGTTCTGGATACTCTTCTAGTCTACCTTTTATTACCCCTTTTAAATGAAATGCATTTACTTTTAAGGACGAAAAACATCAGCTAAACAACAGTAATACATTCTAGAAGGCTGAGATAACAAGGAAACAAAAGAGTGAAGCTTTCAGTAGTGAAATAAATGGAAAAACAATGAAACATTCAAGAATACCAAAATTAGAACAAGCATTCAAGAGTATTGACTCAAAAAAGGCCTCATAAAACACAAGAGTGAAAAAACAGTAGAATGGCTTAGCTGGGGGAAATCAAAGAATTTAGAAACAAACAATCTGGAGATTGTCTAGTTCAGCTTCCTTATTTCACCTATGAGAATACCGAGGCCTAAACTCAAATGGCAGAACTATGA